AAATATTTTGAATATATATTTTTTTTGAAGAAAAACGATGTTTTTTGATTTTGTGACGGTGCTAAGGTGGCATGATCCAGGGATTTCATGCATCCAATCACAACTGTGGGGAGAAATTAGGGCTCCTGGATTTTACTTGTCGCGCGGGTAACACAACCCAAAAAAGGAAATCGTATTTTGTGACCTGTATCACTCATAATTTAAATATGGGTCAATTCGTCTTAATGACTACTACCTCGCTACATAGCCCTTTTGTCGAGGGACACCGTAACTTTTGTATCTTGAGGGCTTTTGCTTGCTTGATAACTCCGCTCTTGAAGTGGTTGCGGTTGCGATGTCTTTCACATTTTCCCTATGCCAACAGACCGGTACAGACTGCTCCAAGGCTTATGGACTTGCGACTCCGGGAGGTGTATCGATGAAAGGAGATTGACGAGGGACACCGTAATTTTTGTATCTTGAGGGCTTTTGCTTGCTTGATAACTCCGCTCTTGAAGTGGTTGCGGTTGCGATGTCTTTCACACTTTCCCTATGCCAACAGACCGGTACAGACTGCTCCAAGGCTTATGGACTTGCGATTTGCGACTCCGGGAGGTGTTTCGTCATTCGTCTGCTGTAGCTAATAAAAAAACAGAAATCTACTCACACGCACATATCCCATACTCGGCGCATTCGTGTTCCACGAAAATTAAAGAATAAAGCCCGATGTTGGTAACACTTTTTTATTTATTCACGTCCAAAAGAAGTGAACACGAAAAAATTTTTATTGATATTTACAATTTTGATATGATAGTGTGCAGTTATATCAGAAACAAGGGTTTATCAAAGAGTGAAGGAGTACGCGGATCCTAAGCCATTAATGAAAGTCCCAGCATTAAGTTATTTCCTTGCTTTCTCAAGTTTCTTATAAATTTTCACTATCGCTAACTACAAGATTCTCAGCCCCATCTACACTAGATTTTTTCCCGCCTACATGGACCATTAAGTTCCGCAAGAAAATCTGAATCTAAAGCATAATTTGGGGAATTAGCAACTGAAAACGATTCACTCTTACTATTACGACTTATTTTACAACAATTCACTTCGCTTTGTATTTATAAAAAATTACAATTTTTTTACCATTAGCTGAAGAACTTTTTATCGAACCATATCAAAGGTAAATGGAAACATTTTTGTCTAAAACTATGGTTTGGTTTATAGCTTGTAGGTTCTTTAACAAGCGTGGGTTTATTATTAATAAATATAATTTGAGTTTTTTTCGTTTTCTAATACTGTAGTTGAAAATTACGTTATCATTATTTGTAATTTTTAATAAAAGTTTAATTAAAAATGAGAAAGTCCCCTGCTCGTATATTTCGTAGCTTTCGCCAAATCGAAGTTTGGGATTAGAACATTAAGTTTTATTAATTTTCCCAGTTTACGCATACCAATTCATTCTTATTTTACCAACTTGGCAAAGCATAATTACAAATCCCATAAAGCCTCAGAAGTACATTCTGAACGCTGTGCATTGTTATAACAGTTTTAGTTTTCCTATTTTTACGCGACTTCAGAGTCCAATCAAGCTAAAAGTGCAAAATAAAAATAACAACTAAGTTTAATAGTATGAAATATGATAATAGTTTGATCACGAATACTATATGCTAAAAAATACAATATATTTTACAATAATATGATACTAAAAATTATTTTTACACAAATGCGAATAATTAAATTATTATGTTTGGATTATGTGTAACGTGCTTAATGTACTTAACGTTAATCATCATTAACTTTTGTCAGGATTCATCACTAGCTTTGTCAGGATTCATTACGCGCAACATGGTTTTAGGAACAATCATCATATTGGTTGTTTGAATGTCAATTTCGCGTGTACGATCGTCAAACACTTCAGAATAAGTTTTTTCATGAGTAGCGTTTGAGTCACTAATTGATGGCACAAAATTATTATCTGTATATGTGCTACGTTTACTCTGTGGGATATCCGACACCGGAGGTTGAAGTTGAGAGTTTAGATTTTGTGGAAAATAAGGTGATGCATAAAAGTCATCACGAGGCTTACGAAGAAACAACCAGATTATGATACAGCCAATAGTTATAAAAATAAGAAATCCACCAAGAACGGAGGAAACTATTATTGCTGTTTTATTTGAGTTGTCTCCATTCACAAGTGATCCTGTTGGCAAACTTCCATTTGGTAATGTATTAGAAGGCGTCGTATCTGTATATTCCAGTTTATTGGGTATATATGTGTCAGTCCAAGTGAATGAGGTTGTGTCTGGGATTTAGCCATAAAAAGTTAATGAGTCATTACAAAAGAATTAATATGGAGAAAAAAAATTATTACCAAGAATATATATATTTGAATCAGCTGTTTCATTTGCCATAAATCCTAATAAAATGAATATAAGATAAATTGAACTCATATGCAATATCAAACAAAATCAAGATAGACATACCAAACGCGATTATCATGTTAGTCCCGATCATCGTGGCCGTGTGTGAATACCTTCCTGGAGGTATGACGCCATTTACAGAAACGGTAATCCAAGATATGGGGTCTTGTTTTGTATCTAGAACTGCAATATCTGAAAACAAACTAGTAAAAGTTACATCCACGCCACCATGAATGATAACTTTACCGTCGTTTGCTGTAAATTTTATAATAAAATCAATAAAAGCATGACGTAAAGGTTTAACATTTTTTAAAAAATAGTAAGTTAATTACTTCCTACGGCGGCATGGTCTCTACGCTGTGATGGCGAATTTCCACCAGCTGTCTAATTTATAAATATAGAACATATGAACATTCTCATCAATAAAATATACAAAATTAAAAGAACGAATAAAAAATAATTTGATACCTTAAGATCCCATTGCCCATTAATAGTATCATAAATATATATACTGGCAGTATCAACCATAGCACTACCAGCAAACCCACCAATAACATACATCTTACCATCTGCAAGTAGTGTAGACGTGTGATGATATCTTGGAGATGGTGTATAGGTTTGCGGGCCTACAGCGATCCAGTTGTTGATTCTGGTTTGTAATTGATATAAGTCATTGTACTGTACTTGTGATGATACGACAATACTGCTAGAATCCGGAATTCCGCCAAAAAAAAAATTTGACGCATCTTCTAGCCTTGACACAGCAGTATGTTCTCTCCGCCGTGATGGTGCAGTTATATTTGGAATGCTCCAATTTTGTGCAATTGTATCAAAATAGAATAATGAATTAAGAGGAGGTGGTGTTTCACCGGATTCACCACCATACACGACTAAGAGTTCATTCTGAGATCCACCTAAACTAACCGTGTGATATGCAACCTTGGGACCCACAGGACCAGTTACCCATGCCGGATTAGACCTTTGAAATTCACTAGAAATATCAAGAATAAGTAGTTGGCCTGTATTTTGAGAAGTATCATTTAATGATCTAAGACCCGCTTTGCCTCCGAAAATATATAAACTATACGATTTATAGAGTTAAAATCAATGACATTAATTCATTAATAAATTTATAAAGTGCATAATCGGATGATTTCCCATATCTGATGCATACTTTTTTTTTATTAATACCGCGCCGTGCCCCCATCGAGGATCAGGAAGAGCAGCAGCATTAACTCTCCAAAAACTCGAACAGATCGCTATTGGTACGAATATAGAACTAACACTTAATTTTAAGGATCCAGAAATATTTTGCCTGAAAAGTTTGAATCCCTGCATCAACTTAGAATATGCACGTTCTTTAAATATATATATATAACAAAACTATTTAAAGTGCTGTAGTGCTGTTAGAAATTTCTCTCCTCAAGGTTATTAGTTCAAGAGTTAAAAATAAAAGTCGTTGAGAACTCTCAACGCGAATATTTTCTTCTTGACAATTTTGAATTTGGCTGGCTATTGACGCCAATGTTAAAGATAAAAGGAATTACGGGGAAGGGGGAAGAAATAACCATATCCATAAGTGGATGGTGCAGATCTTTTTTCGTGAGCAATCCTTAATTTTAAAGCTACACAAATTACGTTATAAACCCCTTTTTTTAATCCTTGAATATACAAAAAACTCAAATGTTATAATACATGATCTTTCGCATTGATAAACTCATAATCTGTGTTCGGACATGTTTCAAATTTTGTTTGAAATGTACTATCAAACAATTTATATCGATCCTTGTCGTTACACAGAGACGATTACTATTTTGTAAAAATAGGCACTGGCCAAATGAAGTAAATACACAAAGAAAATAATTTTTGACATGATTTATATTAAAAGATAGCGATAGTTCAAATTTCGGGACACTTTAAGAACAGTTAACCCAGTGATCGACAATCATTTGATAAACATATGGGCTAAGTGGGCTAAGTGCTGAAAAAAGGAACGAAATTGACAAAACAAAAGATTTTCGAAAAATCAATTTTTGTCTTATATAATAGATCATAAGAAAAATACAAACTTTAAAGAGCTATACTGGCCTAACCTAACCCTCGAATGATAGTCATGTGCAGTGTTTAAAATTAACATGCACAAGATGCACATGTGCATGTAAGTTTTTTTATGTACATGAATTTTTAAAAAATTAATGCACAACTGTGTATTTAAAATTTAATAAAAATAATGTACAAAAAATTTTTTACATTAAAAAAATTTTATATTTTGATGTACAAAAATATATAATTTAAATATACTTTTTAATTATCAGTAAATAGGCCATGTCTGAATTAATTATTGGTAAACTAAGTTGCCTGCCATTGAGTTGAATAAAAATTATTATGATTAAAATAAATTGAAATGCACAATAAGCATATATAAACTTGAATTTTTGATTTTTAAATGCAAATATATATTATTACATTATTTAAATTACTATAATTAGTAAATTTTATTTATCACAATGAAATTAGAATTCTGAAAATATGTGTGATACTTGAATTTTGCTAGTTAAAGTAATTTGAGAAGTGTTGTAATAAATGATCTTTATACTTTTTTTTTTTTTTTTTCTCTTTAAGGTGACCTCTTTGGTCAGTGAATTTTATTATAGTTAAATCGGGGTAGTAGTATTTACAATGATTTTAACTATATATATATTACAACCTGCCTTAGGACTATCTTTAATCATCCTCGAGGTAAACCTAACATCGCATTACATGTCCCACACATGATAGTACATGCTTGTTCGGTAATTACTTCCCAATTAGTACATATTGTCTGCTGTCATTGTGTTCGTATCTCAAGCCATCTTTTGGGATGCTGCTGTAACACAATCCGTATCTCAAGTACAACCTTCCTAATTAGTTCTTCATTACTTTACTTCTGCCCTTATTAAGTTCATAATCAACTTCAGTACCAACATTTCCTAATGCTCTGGAGATATCCCTTCTTCCAATCTAGTTAGCCTGTGAAGTCCCCTTATCCTCCAATGGCCAGGTTGGTATAACCCCACCTATAAGAGTTATAATCACCGAGCCTCTGGTTGAGTTCCCAATATAGTCTTTACTCTGTAGTACTGTCGAAAGTTAGCTACTAATCTTGATTTGGGACTTCTCAAGCGGGTTTCTATATGCGAAAGAGATTTCTAAGATTTACACAATCTTGGACTTATCAAGAGTTTGCATCGCCCTAAGCCGGTTTGTATTCTTTTGTGATTCCTGAGTTTTCTCAGTTGTACAAATGCCAGCAGATCTTCCAGAAATACTATGCCCTGGTGTAACTTAAGTTACAGCTACTCTAATCTAATTATCTTATACAGGTTACCAAAACACAAATTTATTTTTCAAAATCGTCGTTCATGAGATTTGAACTCTAGACCTGCCGCTTGGAGAGGGTAATGACTAGACCACTTCACTAAGCTGCCACGCCTCCTAATGATCTTTATACTTAACAGCCAATTAATATAAATAAAATTAATTTTTTTTTTTTTTTTTTTTTTTTAGCGACCATGCTATATGTCCATGTTTTATTGATCATTAATTTAATCTGAAGAAAAAAGAATACATCTAAAGATTTGGATATGTAACTTATCCAGTTACCTATATAGAATACTTAAATATTCATGCACCTGTGTATGACTTGCCAAAGATGATTTTAATCTCCCTGGTTTGGTTCAACCTACATCAAGCCAACCCACCCTGATTCATCAGCCCATTATAACTACCTTTTTTCCCAACCTTTTTCTCCTAGCCTTCTAGATAGAAGAATTCTACCAAAGAATAATGGGAAATTCACAAAATAAAAAAAATATTAAAAAAAAAGAGAAAATCTAAACTAAACAAAAACAAAAAAAAAAAACGAACAAAAGAAAAAAAAAGAGAAAAGGAAAAAAAGGCTGGAAAAAAAATGGCCATGACAGCACTATTTTTGCCTGTACAAGGCTACATAAATTATATAATGTTGTATAGAATAAAATCTAACCTAACATTATATATAATAATAAAAGTGGAAAAGAAAATAAAAGAAAACATCTAACATTAAGAAATTTTTACACATGATCCCTCTGATTCCCTATACTATAAACAGTACTCTATCATTGTTTATTCGGCAAAGCATAATCCAAATAAGCTCATAGGAGGTTCTATTTTGGTAGACACGTCCTAATTTGGAAAGAGTAAACACTGCCAATCTTTTGAAAGGGGTATACTGGTTTTTTCACTTTTTGGCCAAAATTTTGAAAAAAATTCCAAAATAGCGAAAATATGGGATCTTTGCTAGAAAAATTACACTTCGGGATTTTCCAATCGTGCTAATTTGGAAAGTTTAGACCAGAATGCCAGTTCTTATTTCATATGTAAAACAATTTTTTTACTTTACTAATTTGACAGTTTATTTAATAAACTATCGAATAAATAAAGCAAAAAGTGATTTATATATCAATAAGAACTGGCATTCTGATCTAAGCTTTTCCGAATTAGCACAATTAAAAAACCCTGAAGAGTGATTTTCCTAGCAAAGATCCTATATGGTAAAAGGTCTTTATTTGCAGATACTTTCAAAATTTCTAAAGAGTGTGTTAAAATCCAAAACTTTTGTTGTTTCCCCTATATTCAGTGTTGTACATGGGACGTGTTCACACTATGTAAAATGTCCAACGTTCAAGATTGTCCAAAATCGTTCAAGCCTATGTCTCATATTTAACTAATCAATAAAGTAATTTAAAAAAATATATAATTATATATTTTTTTAGACGCTGGACTCATTGGTGAAAAAATTAAAATAGATTATCTTAATAAAATTTTGAGTAATTTTAATTTGAAAAAATGTCCAAAATTGTCCCATGTACAACACTGCCTATATTCTTCTTTGAAGTAATAGTCTAGAGCTTCATCAATAAAGTAGTAGCCTACTATGTAACTTACTCCCTTTACCAAAATTTTTCATACAAGGGCACCAGAGTGGCAAGCCCCTGCTAGTTATCTTGTATAATAACGCTCCTGGCTTGCATGCCAAACATCCTTTTAGAGGAGTCTTCCAACAGAAAAGATTAACTTCAAGACAAACCGCACTGTAGAGCCACATCTCTTCAACAAAAGTTTTGTTTTCTGTTAGTTGAAATTTTGGTACAAGTGATCATTGGGGAGAGTTTGTTTATTGTATAAATGAAATTAATTAATTTTTAATTTCTACTAAATTTTGCTATCACTAACTATTATTAATTTATTATATCTTTTTTTGGTTATTTATCAACACAAAAAAAGTTATTAACAGCTAAAATAAATATAATGCTACTATAGTATTTATCTTACCAAAAAAATACAAATTAAATAAATTGATAAAATATGTAACTTAATAAAAAAATCTTGAATAAGTATTTATATATTTGAAATTATTGATTTAAATACATAGACTAATAAACAATCTTTATAATATAAATAAAATAAATTAAATACTTGTGATCAAACTTTTATTATAATATTTACTAGCATCTACAAGTTAACTTCCTGAATTTAATGGTTTAAAGTTGTAAAAATATACGTGGAGGACCAAGTTAATGATGGCCAGACCCAACATACAGGACAGGCTATAGTACCTTGCACAACTGTGAGAACTGAGTATATGGCGAGTGCCTCTATAGAAGGAATACTAAATATCTCAGATTCCAATTCTTCCAATCCTTCTGAGATCCAAACTCATAATAATTTCTTTTCACTACCTACTTCACAACCTTCACTTCCATCCATGTTTCTAAATACTCCACATCCAATATCAACAACTTATCCTAACTTACTCTCTGAAGATTCTGATAATGACAATATTTCTCCAACTACATGTACAATTTTAGGCA